ATTACTGTAATTGCAATTCATATATTCCAAGCTGCAGAACAATGTATGATTTATTACAGCTCTGGGATAGTCAGGAAGCATTGCCTAGAAACAGATTTTTTACACTGTATTTTGGAGTATGGAGATAGGGGAAGAAGGCATCACAGACATACTAAAAAAAAAAAGAAAAGGTGTTTTAATCAAAGAGGAATATTTACCAAATAAGCATCGAGATGAATAGTGCAAACATTAAAAAGTGACCAAAAATACCTGGTATCAGCTCTGGGATAGTCAGGAAGCATTGCCTAGAAACAGATTTTTTACACTGTATTTTGGAGTATGGAGATAGGGGAAGAAGGCATCACAGACATACTAAAAAAAAAAAGAAAAGGTGTTTTAATCAAAGAGGAATATTTACCAAATAAGCATCGAGATGAATAGTGCAAACATTAAAAAGTGACCAAAAATACCTGGTATGCTTCAGCAGCAGAACACTCTTTTTTTTTTTTCTTTCAACAGCACCATCAACAAAGACTCCCTTCTTGATGTGTTCTCTGAGAAAGAGTCCAGCAGAAGCAGAATCTAGCAAGTCAAATATCTGTTCGTTGTAGATTTCAATAAAAGAGCATTTGCAGAGAAAACTCTTTCCATTGCCAGCCTGAAAAACACAGTAATTTACACTATAAACAGATTGGTTTTATTAAGCCTGGCATTGTATGGCAGCAATGCTCTTTTCACACATATCTAAAGCTACTAGTTTGCATGTATATTCTGCATACTATACATTTCTGATGCCCAAATTACAACCTACATCCAGACACCCAAATGCATTTTTAGACTCTAAATATGAGCACACCTGTGTCTGAAGAAACTATACTATAATTTGGTAGAGTATTAGATGCAAGCGTGAATAAATTTGATGCGAGATGGCAATAATCTTGGTAACTTAATTACTGCACACCCAGTTTACCAACCTTAGCTAATCTTTATTGTAAGACATTACTTTCACTGCAATAAGAAGATATAAAATAAATGTACCTTTTCCTTTTCCCGCTCAATTAGAAAAAATAAGTATTCAAAGCTCCGTGGAATTACACCTCTCAGACTGTGACTGAAATTACCAGAATCAGGTGGTCCTAAAGAGATTTTCCATTTAAAAAAAAAAGAATTAGTACTACTCAAGAATGATGGTTGACCTTTTCAACATGCCATTACTGAAGACTTCAGCAACCACATTTTACTCAGTTTATGACAAAACCACAGAAGATATGCAATAAAATCAACTTGCAAGATCTAAGATAATGCTCCATAATCAGATTTAAATGTAGTGTAAACAATGGCCATGAAAGTTTATTTTACCTGTCCATAGGCTACTAAAGTCAAAAACAATCTCAATTATTTGGGCTTCCACAGAAAACACGTGCAGCTGTGCAGGTATGCCAATACTGCTACCATAACCCAGATGTGAAGAGCCAGAAGGATGGAGTGGATTTGTCCCCATGTTTAGTTAATATCTATGTAGTCCTCAAAAGCATCAGCCAAAATGGTTTTGGTCATTTCAGTAACTTTCTAATGTCAAGCACAGTATTATTTATCACGGAGCAAAGGAGGCTCAGGGTGACCTTATGGCTCTCTACAACTATTTGAAAGGAGGCTGTAGCCAGGTGGGGGTCAGTCCCTTCTCCCAGTCAACTAGCACAAGAGGAAATGGCCTCAAGCTGTGCCAGGGGAGGTCCAGATTGGGCATCAGGAAGAATTTCTTCATGGAAAGGGTAGTTAAGCAGTGGAATGGCTGCTCAATGAGGTGGTGGAGTCACCATCCCTGGAAGTGCTCAAGAAACGACTAGACTTGGCACTTAGTGTCATGGTCTAGTTGACAAGGTGGGGATTGGCCAAAGGTTGGATTCAATGATCTTGGAGGTCTTTTCCGACTTTAATGATTCTGTGATTCTATGATTGATGCATTTAAAATCACCACTATATGAAGAACAGGATTATGAAGGGATCTCTTCATACACAGAGAAGCCTTAAACATCTAGTTGGGTAGGAAACAGTTATTCCGAAAACCTCAGCATATTCCAATACGGGAGACCCACATTAGAACATGGGTCTATGCACACTAGAATCTATTTCTGTACATGAAAGGGATATCAGCAAAAAGGGAAACCAGCAGAATAATCATTTTGAGAAAACTTACTAAAAGTACTTAACTGAAAAGCTTCTCTCCTGTTCAAAACAAAAAAAAAATCCCAATCGAGAACTTCAAAAAGATTGAGAGTACCTATACTTCACTCTTTTGATATAAAGCAAGAACAACTGCACTGAGCACTACACCACTTTTTAAGCTACCTGCAGAAGACAAAAATCTAAATCATCCCTGGGGTTTGAGCAATAAAACATTTCAACTTGAGACAAAAAAATTAAGAAACCACTAAAAGATTAATCTCTCTCATGCACTTACCCATCATAGTAAAGGTTTTTCCTGACCCAGTCTGGCCACTAAGAAAAAGAAAAAATAGTCAGATAAAGGTTTATTGTGGCTCTGAATTGTTCAATAATCTGCATCTTTGAAGGCGATCTAAAGCTTAAAACAAACAAACAAAAAATGCTTCTAAGCTGAAGATAAAGAAAGACAGGGCAAGCTGAGACATCAGTTAGCTAAAAAGGCATAAAAACACAACAGCAAATTTTACCAAGAAATTCCATTAGATAAATCACCTTTTGTACCCCTAACACCCAACAGTTTCTTCCTTATTTCTGTTGCAATGGGAAGTAGAGGGACTTAGCATTAAAATGAAGGCTTTCAAATATATACAATAAACTAATTTTTGGGTCAGTCTTTTGGGATTTGTGTCATTCCGTACTGCACATAAACTCTAAAAGAGAAAAATACCTTAAAGTCGATTTTTTTTTTTAAAAAAAGGTAGTTATTAATCATGCCAGAGAAACTTCAGGGCACCTTAATTTTTCCAATTTGTATGTTGTTCATGCCAGAGAAACTTCAGGGCACCTTCATTTTTCCAATTTGTATATTGTAAAAAAAAGTGGACTTGAGTTTTGCAAGAGCTTTGCTAGGCTAAAAAAAACCTAGTAAGGTTTTGATTAGATTAGCTCTTTAAGTCAGCAATTTTTGACCAAAGTGCTTACTGAGTTTTCAAAATGAAAAAATATTGAGTTAGTATAATGATATTCATACTACTAGGTGTGGATATATTCCTACCTTGAAAAAATTCTGAAAGTTACAATTATCATTCATGAGTTTTCCCACAGGCAGCTAAGTGTCACTGAAGAGCTGTGCTGGCCAAGTATCAAGTTAAAGCAATTTTCATTCCATTTTAGTGTGGACAAACTGACAGTGACCAGCCTTCTCCTTAACAGTACAATTAAACTTCTAGTTTTTAGACAAATAGGAAAATTGAAATGAGTTTACAGTCCACATTATGAGCCCTAAGTATTTGAAGTAAAAAACCTACAGATTCCTCCAGAAGAGGAATAAGTATATTCTTCAATATTGCAAGAATATTCCCTATATTGTGCTGCAGTAAGGAAGCACTTCAAAAGGCCCTGGCTCTTAAAACCACAACTACTCATTAGCACAATCTGCTCCAATGTTGCAATAGCTATGAAATAACTGTAACTGCTATGAAAGGACTTACTATGCAAAGATGGTTCCATTGTAGCCGTTCATACAAGATTCAACAATATTTTTAGCCACGCTTGAGAACACTGGGAAAGAGAAGGCACTTGACACCACTTGCTTAAGTATCTTTTATTATCATGGCTATGCCATAACTTTATAGTGTATAAAACAGATGCATTCCTTAAGGTTAGACATGTATCACAACACCTGGAGCTCTCACAGCAAAACAATACATCCTAAGACTGTGCCACATAATCACTCCCTCTGAAAAAAACTGTATTCCTTGATAATTTGAAAGGAAAATAATAAAACGCAACACCATAGTAACAGCTTTTGAATATATATTAATTTTGATCCAGTGTTTTTGATTATGGTATGCAGTTTATAACATCAGTAGGTAAAAATTGAGCCTGTGACACTGAGCAAATCTAGTTAACTTTCAACATTTGCCACTGCACAATGGCATTTTCAACAAATCTCCAGAACTGTTAGTCTCATCTATTTTCATGTTTTTCTTTTAATGCCTAGCTACAAATAGCCTACAGCTGGGGTGTGTGTGGGGGGGGTTGTTTGGGTTTTTCAACAGAAATTGAAGAGAATTGAAGTCTTAATGGCATTTAAATTGGAATGTCAAACAGTATTATAAAATTAAATTGAAGGATTTGCTTTCTAGTATAACCTGTCCCAGATGAACAATGCATCCATTTGAAAGACATGGAAATATAGCAAGTAGAATACAAACTCACAAGTTCCTTTTCTACAAACAACATCTGTAATATCAACTACTGATTGCCAGCTATTTTTGTTTGTCTCGACGGACAGATTCATTTTCTGTCAATGGTGTTACCATAGCATTTACACACAAACTTCAGTTTTAATACAAATTTTAATTATAGAAACAAACAGAAAAAAATTCAACAGAACTATTAGAAAGCAGAATTTAGTGCAGCATTTCTGTACTATAACAACATACTACAAATCTGAGCACTGAAAAAAAAAAAAGAAGAAGAGCCAAGACACTACAATTTAAAAAGGCTTAGCATAGTAGTCACCAGAATTTGGGCACAAACTGCAATTGTTATGAGACTCCAGGAATTGATTACCTGTGTTGCTTCCGTATTTGCAACATAATCAAAAGTGAAGATCTTTGGCTCAGGCTTCGAGTGCAGGCGGATGGTGTTTGATGAAAGAACAGATAAACACAAGCCTCGATCTCCATCGGTTAATGCAATTTTGTCTGAAGGGGGACGAACCCTTACGAAAACTTTGATAGCATCACCTTCAAAACTAAAGGAATTTTTATGCATGAGATTACTTCAAAACAGATCTATCAGCTGTTGGATGAAATTAAATCACAACAATCAGATTAAGTCATGCTAAAGTCTCCCCTGAAATCATGCCATTTCTAGCTGAACATCAATTCACTGCAAGCCACAGATTTATTACAGGTAACAATGTGGCAGAGTTAAAAAACAAAGCACATGAAATTTACAGGAGTTTACTGGAATTTCTTGCTGTTGCATGTAACTTCAGCTCTAGAACACACTTGAGATACAGAAATCCAGTGTTGGATTAAAAATTTCACAGCAGTTTCTAAGACTATGGGCTTCAAGCATCCTCCTTATTGCTTCCTGGAAGTGATACGAGGCAAATGGAGCAGGTGATGCTAGAGTCCAGCAAGAAAGTTACTAGCATTTTTCTTTGCTGCTCACAAGAACGGAAAAACCAATCAATTCTTGATCATTGAGTCAAACAAAGCATAGCAGTGCCTGCATCTAAAACACCCCTAACCTATTTCATCACATTTATCAGTGGATGCACCAGCAAATTTGGCTTGAATAAGTAACTGTGCATGACTTTTATTAAAGCTTTGAGGAGTTCTGGCATAAATACCAATACACTGATATAACATTAAAGAAATAAATTCTTGCATGAAATGGTAGCAAACTTGGATTTAAATTACTTCATTCTTTCCCACAAGGCAGTTACAGCACAAGTGTTATAACTGCTATTGGTTTTTACTTTTGGTATAAAAGAGAAGGGAACAGAATAGTTTTAAAAGTGGGGAAAGGTCTTCATGGCTGAAACATGTGGTTGAGGAGTGGCAGAAGAAAGGGCTAAAAATCAAGAAGCAGCTGAGAAAGGGAAAGTGTTATACTGGATTTAAGGCACACCAAATTAACTTGCTGTATATGTTTTCATTGGAGAACATCATTCTGAGTTGTGGCAGAAACAATTTATTTTTGAAGGAGTGCCTTCTGATTTTTTTTTTTTTACATTTAGATTAGGACTTCCTCATAGAATAAAAGTTCCTCATCTCTTCAGATAAATTCTAGAGTCCAACTGCAGCATTAGTGGACAAATAAGAATTTACTGCATGGCAGCATTCCAAGAACCTCAGGGCAATGCTTCTATTATGAGAACATTTTTGCTTTAAAGAACCAATAAGGAAGTTAAGAAAGAAAGGCAACAATCTTGTGCAGGAAAACACTGAAAGAAAAACCTTTAAATGATTTCCACAAAGTTATACTAGGTTTTATTTGCACTTTTTGTGCAATGTGATTACTCATACGTGGGAACTGACTACTACTACTACTTTACCTGTGTGAGTTTGACAGAGATACTGAAGAGTTATGCAGATCTCCTAAAAAAGAAGAAAACACACACAAAAGTTAAACAAGACAAAATTATTGTTCAAAACCTCTCATTTAAATAGAAAATGCTGTAAGACATACCAGGAGGCATAAATGGAAAGCCTTATAAACATCTGTCTTGTGCATGAATCAGAACTGCACAAGAATATTTGTTAACTCTCTGGTGGAAATATTGCAGACTGTTACAGTCTTGTGACATGAGCAGGCACACACTTCTCAATGTATGTGCAATCTGTAGTCTTGTAAGTTAATGTATATAGTTTTGTAGGTGTTTTGGAGAATGAGAAACATAAATGTTGTCACATAGTCCCATTATATTTTAAAAATTTCTAAGTTAATAGATACAACAATACATCATGAAATAGTTTTCCTGACATGACTTCAGAAACTCAGTTTCCTAAACCTGCATAACTGAGGAGCTGTATTACTTTCACTTTTCATGAAGTAACATTGAGCACTCTGTAATGCACAAACCTCTCCTGTACCTATGAGCATCATGTTGCACGGCTTTGTGCTTCAAGGACATGGCACATAGTGCCCACAGGGAGATACTAGTGACTTAGATATATGATAGTGACTTATTTCTTACTTCAGAGTGAATCTGATATGAAATGATATATATGTAGTATAGACAAAATATTATCAAAGTAATGTAATCACATTTAAAAAATAAGTAAAATGACAATGAAAGATAACATACCAAAACATTCCAATAATACTTTATGAAATCCCTAAAAGTGCACAGGTTTTATTGTAGAAGGATCCTACAACTCTGCTTTAAAAGCAGAATTAGTAAAGATTAACATTTAGATACCAGGGAGATAAAGAAACAAGGACCTAAGAGCACAGCTCCCTGTTTCTAGGTTAACCCTTTGGTATCACATATTTAACTTCCTCTGTGGCTTTGCAGGTATTAACTGCTTTATAAGGTCCTAGAATGCACAGAAAGGAAAATAAACATGCCTCAGATGACATCATTTACAGCTTTGTATCATTTGCACCCTCCTCTTGTCATATATTACTTTCAAATAATGTTACTTTCTCCTTCAGAGTATTACTCAGAGTTTTTCATTATGTTACAAAATTGACAGAGTGGTGTTAATTGGTGCAGAATTAGCAAGGTAGCTAAAAGAACTTATGCAAGACTGAGTGTAGGAGTAAGTCTCAACGGGGGAGTTGTTGTTGTAAGGGGCCTCGGGGCAAGAATGCACCCAGGGACAAATTCTCACAAACTGTGACCAGCTCCTCACCCTGCAGCAGTGCAGAGGAGTCAGCAGAAGTAACCAAGACCAAGATAAGGAGCTTGATCATCTGCAAACGAGGTAATAAGCTGAGCCGAGGCCATATGTGGAAGGGAGACTCAAAGTTCATGGAAAAGGACAACCTCAAGGGACCACCAGAGACCATCCAAAACCCCCAAGGAAGACCCCCAAGAAGCCACACAAAAGCAAGCTAATTAGCATAAGAACTGAGAGAATCACCAACCAATAGACGATAGAATACTAATGAATAAGACTTGGGTAACTCCTGACGAATGAGCATTAGTTTCTTTGCTTTCCGAAACGTATAAATAGTAAAAAGCTTGGATAGTTGGGATGCAGCTTGGCGGAGCATCCTCTGCACCCAGCGCCGCAGTAAACAATACCAAATCGCTGTTAAGAGGTTTTATTCCCGATTTCGGCGACAACTCGAGAACGGTTTTAGCTCCTAACTCAGTTATTCACCCCCCTGATGCACAAGGTATCGAGTCGAGGCGGGACCAAGGCACACTGCAGCACACACCGCTCGGGGCTCGCACGGCCCTGGCGAAGGGGCGACTACCGCGGAGCCGACACCGCCCGGCAGA